GTTTTCTTAGGAACACAGTGGTCATTCTGGATGTTGGACCAGAAATCTTCTGGGCAACTGATGCACTCCATGGAATCTATAAAAAAGATAGTTGTGGTCATCGTAAGTCACTGTAGAATTTTCCAAATCAAAACTCCAGGCTTTTCGGCCCAGGTTAAGGACTTTACACTCACTGGTTGCATTGCTGATCTTTCCTCCAGAACAAGGAACACAGTCAAAACAACACTCAGGTTGACCTTTTCTCCGGGCCACACGGGTACCTGGAGGACAGCTGTCACTACAAACTGACCGAGGAGGCTAAACAGGAAAAAGCACAGAGCAAATATGTTTGGTGTCCTTGTTCTTAAGAACAGTAATACATGATGATTTTATTTATAGTCAGTGTATTTGTATTGAAATTGTTTTCATATGCACTGTACATAAAACACAGTTGTATACGTCTGTTAAACAAGTTTAAAGAAAGAATTTACTATGAAGACCTTATGGGCTAGTTGCATTGCTACTGTGGAAATTGTAATAAATCTCTAGACACAAGTAACACTATGTATCAGTAGGAGGGAGGAGTCACAGTTTTCAATTGCCACAAAGGTATTTCAATTACAACTTTCAAAACAATCAAAATGACCATCTTGGCAGTCCTGGTGTGGGTAATTCTATTCAAAATGAGTTACTTGTGGTGTTTGTGGAGTACTTCTTGTCACTGACTAAATAAAGTAGCTTATGCAAAAGAACAAGACATGTTCAAATGTTTTTGTTATGAGATTATCAGACATACAGTTCAGGCTGTAATTTTCATAAATGTCAGGGGTTTTGTTAATTGTGTGACAATAAACAAAAGAGAGAAACCTCTTGTTTGTGGCCTGGCTTTGTTTAAGTATGGCCGGATTCACATGACTTTCATGGGTAGAGAAAAAACAGTCTAACATTTTAAATGTTTTATTATTTCGGGGCAAAAGAAAACTTACCTTTTTAGGATCAAAATTCCAGAAGATTTTTTCTTCATCAAGAGTGAGTTCTTCACCTTTGACGGTTGACCTTTTCACCTCACCCACATTTTGAACTTCAGTGCTTCCATCAGGCAGCCAAGACCAATTCATGATGTCATATATTGGTAAGGCGTCACCATTCTCATCAAATGACACGTGATCACCAAATTGTGTGGTGAAGTTGACTTTTTCCAAGTAATAAACAAGCTGTATAAATCAGAAATAAATATACTCTTGAAATAAAATAAAATGCTTTCTACTATAAAGTATGCTTAAGAGTATAATACAGCATAGTTTTTTTCTCTATGCTCATTTCTTAATATTCACTGTCTGTCAGTATTAGGGTGTAGATTGTTAACTGACAACACACCTGCCATGGTTCCAGTCTTTGTAATTGAGCACAGGTGTCTCCACTGAAAGGTCCTCTTCCTGGTTCACACTGCAGCATGTCATCAAGAGCATGTGCCAGAGCATACACTGCCTTATACACATTATACTCTGGTCTGAGGTCTGAAACATCCAAGAATTCCTCAGCTACTTCATCCTCTAATACCTCCTGTCCAGTGCATAATGCTCCTCCATCTTCTATCCAACCTGCTGGAGTTGGTGAAAATCTGCACTGGAATGTGTGTTCCCAAAATTGATTCACCTGGGGTATACATTCAACATAGTGATAAGGCTTGAAGTATGTACCGCTACAATTTATGAAATGATATGATCATATTCTCACCAAGTTGTTTCCATTACTGTTATTATATTTTAAATCAGGACGTATTTGTAATAGGAAATTCTTGAGACCAGGGATTTCTCCTCGACGGATGGCAATGCCTAGGGTTCCACCCAGGTATGGCATGAGGTGAGGCGCTTGTAGCACAGCAGCTGATGTCCAGGCTTCACTGGCCATCCACTGCAGGCCTGTCACATTCTGCCTTATCACCTGGACATTGCAAATATACAAAAAAAATTGCATTTTTTGTATAGTTCTACAATTTAAAAAAATCAGTGCATATGGGTAAACATTTTTTACAGGACTCACCTCTTCCATGAGATTGAGCATGTGTGACTGATGTGCAAACACAATGACCACACGAGCTGTTGATTTCCTCATCACATTAACTATTCTCTTCAGTTCAGTACGATCATTTGTCCATGGCAAAATCTCTGTATAAGCCAGACATCCTCCAGCAATTGGACCTAGATCAGACTGAAAGGATCGGGCTGCATGGACCCCATAGTCATCATCACTGATGAGCAGACCTGCCCAAGTCCAACCAAAGTGTTTTAGAATCTGAATCATAGCACGCACCTATGTGGACACAGAGGAGTCAGTTTACAGGGTAATTTTTGACATAATTTGACGTAAATGTTTAAGTTTTTCTTTGTATATGCTTTCTCTTGTGCATTTTGAATTACAAGTTAAAATTTTTACCTGAAATGAGTCACTTGGAATTGTCCGGAAAAAAGATGGAAACATCTGTCTGTCACTAAGACAAGAACACGTTGCAAAATAACTCACCTGTAAAAGAAAATCACACAGAGCATCATGAAGACAGGAAAACAACTACTTCTTTTTAATGTTGCACAGCTTTTTAGTCCCAATAATTAAGTATGAGTACATAAAGGATAAACTTACCAGTGGTACTCTGTATAAACCTAAGACCCTGGAGATGGCAATAGATCGTGTAGAGGAAGGATCACCCACAATTCCTAGGACTGAAGGAGTTCCTTCACAGGTTCTCTCTAACTTTACATTTTTCTCCTGACCATTTGCCAAGGACAGTGCAGCTTGTAAAGCCAACTTTACGTGGATGCAGTTATCATACAGACTGTATCCCAGAGTCACATTATGCAGCAGGTTGGGGTTTCTGTTAATCTCATCAACAGCAAAGGCCATGGTCTGAGCCCTTCTGAATCCTGCAATATCAAAACTTAAAACATACGAAATAATTTACTCCTTTAAAACATTACAGCATCACTTCAAACTTAATCAAATGAGAGAAACCAAAAGTATATATATCATTAATAATACAGATATTATAAATGTGTATAAAATATACTCTTTTTGTTTTATCCTGCTCTGTGTTAGTTTCTTGTTCTCACCCATGGCAGACTGGTTGTTGTGGCTCTGAGGTGAAAGACAAGTCAGGAAAAGTAGAAAAAAAGTGAATTTTCAAAATTCCTCCTAAAATCACATCTCCAGCCTTTTGCATTCCATTTATATAAAATTGTCGCTGTATCTCACAAGAGGAGGAATAAAATAGTGACGACACAACAAAGAAAAAGCAGGAAAGTAATGTTAGCAAAAATAAGCTACCGTATAAAGCTACTCTCATGGTTTCCTCAGGTAACACCTTTCTCTTAGTGCTGTTGTAACATCCCTGACATCACATTTTATTGATTTTCAACAGCCCACAAGTTGTTGATACACCACCTATCAGCGCAAAGAAAGTGACTGTGGGGCTGGGCCTAGAGAACCTCTTCTGAGACAGAATCAATTGTGAGATATTGAAAAATGTATTTAAAATAAACATGGGGACAAAAAAAAGGGACAAAGCCGAATTAAAAAGAAGAAATGATGAATAGAAAGCCTATATGGCTTCATTTGAGAACTGCTTTTCATATTGATTTCATCCCATCAAAAATACACAGATTTGCCAGTAATTATTTATATAATGTTAACTATATTCAATTTATGTATTTTATGTCTTACTGATGGCAGTGGAAAATGTACAACCCAATGTCAGCATGGCAAAATGTACAAAAAGTCTAATTCCGCACCTTGGGCTACAGCTTACCATTTGGCTGCCCTAAGTACTTTCATTTTAAAACAAGTGATTAGTTTATTATAATATTATAATAAACTAACCAACCATTATCCTTGGTACCTAGGATAATATTATGATATTATCCTAGGTGCCAAGTCCAAGCTGGAAACGCCTCTTTCTGTGTGTGGTGAATTAGTAGTATGTACTTTAGTTGTGTCTCGGTAGCGTTAGCCACTGTGCAGCTACAAGTTACTGACTTAACTCAACTCGAATCATTCAAAAACAACTATGTTTTCTCTCGCTACATGCCAGATTATTGTTTGTTGTATTATGGTACTGTTACTTCATTGAGCTAGATGCTGCTGCTCTTTGTCTTAAGCCTTTGTTGGGCTACATTGATTGCACTGTTAAAAATAAAAGCAAGCATTCAAAAACAGTAGAATTTATGGTCATGCTGTGATTGACCAAAATTATCCTCATATAATAAAACAATGACATAAATACAACTCTGTTAACTTGGAACAGATGTGCAAAATGCTTTTGTACACGTTTAATTACAGTCATAATATAAAATATTTATACATATTGGTTTGTGTAATTCTTAAATTAAACAATTATTCCTACTTATTACATTTTCATGATCTACTGTTTCGACCCATTATGGCTTTCTTTGTGTTTCTCTCTGGCCTCAACAAGATAATATAACATTTGGGTCCAAACAGTGCTACTAATAGGCCAAAACTAGAGGCCAGGATGGCAAACACCTCCACGGCATCTGCATATTTGCCTGGAGAGTTGATATAGGCAGGAATGAAGGCCACCCACACTGCACAGAAGATTAGCATGCTGAAAGTAATGAACTTGGCTTCATTAAAACTGTCTGGAAGATTTCTTGCCAGAAATGCTAACAAGAAGCTTAGAATGGCCAGTAAACCAATATATCCAAGCAGGACTCCAAACCCAATAGTAGAACCAATGACACACTCATAAACTATTTTGTCGTTATGGTAGTGAACATTCTTATGAGGAGCTGGTGAAGCAGAGACAAGCCAAACAGTGCAGATTGCTGCTTGTACTGAGGTCAGAACAAGAACTGTTCCTCTCTGCTGAGCAGCACCAAACCACTTCATACTGGCTTCACCTCCAGGTTTAGAGGCTCTGAATACAGCCAGAACCACCATAGTCTTTACCAGGATACATGAGATACAAAGCACAAAGCTGATGCCAAATGCTGCATGTCTAAGTTGGCATGTCCATGTCCTGGGTTGTCCAATGAAGAGCAACGAGCAGAGAAAGCACAGTTTAAGGGACACAAGGAGGAGGAAACTTAGTTCTGTGTTGTTGGCACGAACTATAGGAGTGTTGAGATGGTGAATGAAGATTGCAAGCACAACAAAACAGAGAAATGTTCCCACAACTGTGGCGGTTGCCAAGCAGATACCCAGAGGCTCGTGGTAGGAAAGGAACTCTGTTTTCTTAGGAACACAGTGGTCACGCTGTGGGCTGGACCAGAAATCTTCTGGACAACTAATGCATTCCCTGGAATCTAAGAAAGAAAAAAAAGTCATGGGATCTGACAAGCTTCACTAGGTTTATTTTAAAATCCACAGTCACTCAGTCACCTCTTGTGCTTCTACCCCTAATTTTTTATGGGCTTCCAATTTTTCTCCTTTGTCCTGTCCTCCCTAATATCATTGTAACATTGTTACAGAAATATACAGTATAATAACAGGTTTCCGCCATTATTGTTATTGTGCGGCATTGAACAGGTTTACTGGGTTGAAAGGTAACAGAGAAGCAGGGCTGACTGTAATGTCTCACTCTCGCCCACTCACATGGAGATGCAAGTGCCAGAGTTTTCAAATCACTCCACTCAGGGACCAGTATACGGTGACGATGCAGTTCTCCGCCCCAACACTGCGTCGGCCTCTCAATGTAAGGCAGAATCTGCGCTATATCTGTGGGATCCAGCACTGTGTCATCGCTGTATGAACAGAGCCTTAGATCCCAGTGAAAACAAGCAACTTTTTGATACTCACTAGTTGTGTTACTGATCTTCCTTTCTGAACAAGGAATACAGTCAAAACAGCACTCAGGTTGTCCCTTTTTTCGGGCCATGCGGGTTCCTGGAGGACAACTCTCACTGCACACGGACTGAGGAGGCTGTAAAAAGTAATTCAAGGATTTCACAAAGCCCTGTCTTAGATATAAAGATATACTGGGATTGGCTGAGGGTTGAAGCAAAACAAAGCAGAGACTTCACTTCCTAAATATGCAAATTAAAAAGTGTAAAGGAAAAAGTCCAACATTGATCGTGGGAAAGAATAAACTAGCTAAAAGGCTACCTTAAGCAAATGTGTCTGACAATAGTTAAACAGTATCATAGACAACCTTTGCAAACTAAAATGCATCAATCTTTTTTGGAGGATAAGACATGGAGTTTGAAAATAGTAATAATACAAAGATAACCTTTTTGGATTGGAAATTCCAGAAGAGTTTTTTTTCGTCGAGTGTTAGTTCTTCACCTTTGAAGGCTGACCTCTTCACCTCACCCACATTCTGAACATGAGTGCTTCCATCAGGGAGCCACGCCCAGTTCATGATGTCATATATTGGTAAGGCGTCACCGTTCTCATCAAATGACACGTGATCACCAAATGATGTGGTGAATTTGACCTTTTCCAGGTAATACACAAGCTTTCAAAAATTGAAGAACACAGTTACCAACAAGACCAATTCGTACAGTATGAAATGTGTTTCCCTCTTGGTTATGTATTGCCATTTTATACATTTTGGATAGTCAATCAAAAATAAACATGATCAGCATTCATTAACTGGAACTTTTTTCTTTTTCTTTCAATTTTTTTTAATTGTAACCTTCAAGTCACTGAACCAGTGGGTTACAGAAATAGGCTATGGTTGTATGCACTTTTTTTAAAGGGCTGTTGTAGCATCCAGGCTCTGCCCTGGGGGAGTGCAGGTTAACAAAGGGTAATTTTGCAAACAAGAGGGAACAGAATGCTTAAGTGAAAAAAGTGAAAACTGATACCACACCTGCCATGGTTCCAGTCTTTGTAAATGAGCACAGGTGTCTCCACTGAAAGGTCCTCTCCCTGGCTCACACTGCAGCATGTCATCAAGAGCATAGGCAATAGCGTACACAGCCTTGTACACATTATACTCTGGTCTGAGGTCTGAAATGTCCATGAACTCCTCTTCTATCATATTCTCTAGAACTTCCTGTCCAGTGCATAATGCTCCTCCAGCCTCTAGCCAACCGGCCACAGGTGGTGAAAATCTGCACTGAAACATTTGTTCCCAAAACTGATTCACCTGAAACATATTTGAAAGGTTATTTTCATACATACTGTATATGTTTTGTTGTAAATGCATTTGTATTTATTTTTCCTATTCTCACCATACTATTTCCATGGCTGCTGTTGTAGTGAAGGTCAGGTTGTGTTTTTAAGAGGAAGTCTCTTAGTCCTGTTATTTCTCCTCGACGTATGGCAATGCCCAGTGTTCCACCCAGGTATGGCATAAAGTGTGGTGTCTGTAGCACAGCAGCTGATGTCCAGGCCTCACTCGCTATCCACTGAAGGCCTGAAAGATTTTGCCTTACCACCTGCACAATGCATTTTTACAAAAAATCAATGTTGATTGTGGTATTAGAAGGAGTTTTGCCACATTATCAATCTACCCTTTCTTTTTTATAACCATTTTTGTAATCAGAGTAACCATTCCAAATATCAACCCAGCCATGTGTGTAAGATAAAACGCTTTAGCAAATATTGTCTTCTTTAGACTTTAGTAGACTCTACCTCCTCCATGAGGTTAAGCATGTGACTCTCATGTGCAAACACAATGACCACACGAGCTGTAGATTCCCTCATCACATCCACTATTCTCCTCAGTTCAGCCTGGTCCTTTCCCCAAGGCAACACTTCAGTATAAGCCAGACACCCTCCAGAAGCTGGACCCATGAGAGATTTAAAAGACCGGGCTGAATGGACTCCATAGTCATCATCACTGATGAGCAGACCTGTCCAAGTCCAGCCAAAGTGTTTTAGAATCTGAATCATAGCACTGACCTATGTGAACAAAGAAAGCAGGAACATCATGACATAGTCTGGAACAGGTCAGATTCTTTTTATGAGCAACACACAGGAGTTTTCTATATTTGTAGCGCTAAAATGAAAGATATTTTAGAGATTTTAAAGACGATTAAAAAAATCAAATGTTTGACACTGCATGCTGCAGCATTTTGGTACAATATTTAAATGAGTGTTGGTTTTCACCTGGAAAGAGTCACTAGGTATTGTCCTAAAGAAGGACGGAAACTTTTGTCGGTCACTTAGGCAGGAACATGTGGCAAAATAACTGACCTAAAAGTTTTAAAACAAACAAACATTTTAATTTTTATTTCTTATTTAATTCTATCAAATATAACATTAGATACACTTACCAGAGGGACTCTGTATAAACCTAAAACTGTTGAGATGGCAATAGAACGTGTGGAGGAAGAATCACCTACAATCGCTACGACTGGAGGAGTTCCTTCACAGGTCTCCTCTATTGTCACTTCCTTCTTCTGACCACTAGCTAAAGACAAAGCGCCACGGAATCCAATACCAAGTTGGAGGCAGTTATCATATAGACTGTATCCCAGAGTCACATTAGAGAGCAGGTTGGGATTTCTGTTAATCTCATCAATAGCAAAGGCCATGGTCTGAGCCTGTCTGAATCCTGTAATATCAAAACTAAAACAAAATATATTAATAAACATGTTAAATGTCTTTTAAATTAATTAATAAAAATTAAAAAAAACATTTTGTAATGAAAGATAGTGAAGTAGCATAATGTAAAAAAAGCATGAGGACATAACAGGATCATCTTTCGTTGATAAAACACGTCACTCCTTCTATGACTCACCCGTGGCAGATAGGCTGTGGTGGCTCTGAAGTGAAAGACAAATCAGAGTAATCAGAAAAGAAATGAACTTGAAACAGTCCACCAAGGACAACGTCTCCAGTTTTGTGCAGCTCATTTAGATGAAACTGTCCCTGCAGGTGACATGAGGATGAATACAGAGAGGAAGAGGAAGAGCAGTACAACAACAGGTTTAGAATGCAGTAGTAGGAGTTGAGAGAAGACCTCATGGTTAACTACTTTTCTGAGTGAATGTCTGTGTTTACATCATCTATTATAGTCACCTGTCATATTATTTAATGTTGAAAACCACCAATAAGAAGGATTAGGGGCAGGACCAAAACACCATCTTTGAACATGCGTGGAACTGTGTGCATGTTTTCTTATGTACTTCAGATTAAACAGGAAGTCTAATGCCCTAAAGTTCAGTTTAAACACATTATTTTGGCTGACTGACTGAGGTGCTTTAAGCAGCCTGAGAATTCCAAGCAGTGTTTATAAAGTTGCAACTTAAAATAACTAAACTCATTATTAACTACATGGATATTACTGGCACTGATCTGTGGACCATTAGCAATTGTCCTCTAAAATATGGGTTGTAAATGACGTTGCCCTAAAATGTAAACTGATCAACACATCGATTTGTGAGAAGCAATCTGTTTATGATCTTCTTGCTGTAGAGGCCAGTGTTCCCCCAACATTTGCCAAATGTTAAATATTGTATTGAATTGAATTAAATAGGCTTGTGAACCCATCACATGATCACAGCTGTCCATCAATGTTCCAGCTCAGATATTTTTATAATATAATTTAAAAAAGAACCATTAGTTTAAAAAAATATTTTATTTGTAAATTTTTTTTTGTATCAATTACTACACATTTTGGGCAACCCTATTTGAATTCTGGTGTATCCCATTATTGGTCATGATTGGCATTAAGGAATCAACCAGGGAAGGTAAATCTAATACATGGAAAAGGTTTCTTAAGACATCACCTGAATTGAACATTAGCAAACTAAATGTTTATGATCTCAATTACAGTCCCATTTTTTTAAAATGTCCCCAATACATGGACAGATAATTATTGCAGATGTGTGGAAACCACTTAACAGCCAAGACTTTACTTTTCAAATCCAGTCTATAAGGGGTCATTGAAGCTTTATGTCATATGTCTGGAAAACAAAAACAAAACAGGAAAAAAACAGCACTCTCTGAGACAAAGAGAGGGAGAGAATTCTATACACAGAGGTGCAGTAGGAGTGCACCTGATTTCTGAAAAATCTATAAAAGATGCTGTCAGGAAACTGATCAGTGCAGAAAGTAGGACACATGGAGATCACAGTTCTCTTCATCAGCCTGAGATTAACTCTTAGCTGGTTTGAGCTGAACTCGGCTCTTGCCTTTGATGGTTTTGGGCTGGATCTGAAGCAAAGGGCTGTTTATGCAGAGGTCAACCCTGTTCAGCCGAGGTCTGGTTCGTCTGTGAAGTGTTCTCGTCTTAGCCTGTCTCATCCGCCTGCCTTCTCCATGGATGGTGACTATGTTATCGGGGGAGTTTTCTCCATTCATTATTACATGCGGCTGGTGAGGCACAACTACACCACTGAGCCTGAAGCGCTGAGCTGCACAGGCAGGTTAGGTTCAGGGGTGAAGGTCTTAAAATGATTGTACAATGAATGTGATGACAGGAGGAGTTCTTTTAAATATTAGTTTGAAACGCATGTAGAAAAAATAAGTCTAAATCTAAGAGCAATGTTTTATCATTATTTGTCATTATCTACAAAAGATTTGCCACAGAAGAAAAAGAAAGTAAAACGTTCTTCTGTTTCCTTGTTTGTAAATGTTCTAATATTCCTCTTTGCTGTATTATTTTTCTGAACTCAGTTCAGTTAATTTGCTGTGACATAAACATAAAAAATATCTAAATGAATTTCCATATTTTAACACTAATCTACTGAACCTCAAAAATAAAGAAATTGAGTTTTATTCAATTAGAAATTTAAATTTTGTTTACCTATCTGTTATTTTATGCTTAATGTGTTTTTTCTACTGAACTTACAGTGACGTTATTGTAAAGAAAACATTAATAATGAAGGGGTTCATTATTTATTAATAACAAACAAAACCAAAACTGTTTAGACAGACAGATGCGGTGCAAGTTCATATGTGAGGATGCAGTAAACAACAGAGGAGGGAGAGAAATCCAGCCATTAATTAACTCATGTTCTTAGTTAAAAAACACACTAATGTTATCACACGTTTTAATGATTTCAACATTTCTCAAAGCAAAAACTGCAGATCACTATTTTTTTCAAATGTTTGTTTTATTAATCTCATAACACGTTTTGTGGCCGCCTCCTAATAATCCTCTTAGTTGGCATAGTTATATTTGATTGTCATAAAACATGGAAAACTGATGAAAAAGATAAGCATCTAGCACTCAGCTTATTAAGAAATATTGTTTTAGAAACCTTTCTATAATTTAATGTATGTAATCTTTGCTTTTAATCTCAAATTACATTTGTCAACCATCTTATCAGCTGAATCTGGGTTGTTTGACTGTCTGAATGACAATGACAAAATAAGGTACAAAATAATATATTAAATATTTTAAATTTGTTAAGTCATTAAATGTAAATGATTATTTTTATTAATATGTACAAAATTATGTATGTACAAAGTTGCAGTTTGATTTGGGGAATAAGAGGGACGTTTATTCAAATGTGTTCACATTTAGGATCAAGAAATATCTGCATGATCTTTTAAATATGAATTTTTAAAATTTATTTCTGTGGTTCTGTGGAATAGAAATGGACACAGGCAGCCATGAGAATTAAAAAAAAGTTTCTTAAAAATGTTTTTGGTGCTTTTGGATTTTGGTATTTTTATGTATGTCCCAAGATTTATATTTCCCTATTTGTTATAGGTATAATTAGAAAAAAATATGTAATAACTTTCAATAGATGAGTTTATATGATGTCTCCCTTTACACTGTTTAACAAAATCTTCATTTTGCAGCATTGATGCACGGGAACTGAGGTTCTCACAAGCTATGATTTTTGCAATTGATGAAATCAACAACAGCTCAGATCTGCTGCCAGGTGTCAAACTTGGGTATAGGATATATGACTCCTGCTCCTCTGTGCCCATGGCCATGCACTCAGCCTTCCAGCTTTCTAATGGTTTGGACCAAGTGTTCAACACCAATGACAGCTGCTCTCAGTCTGGTATGGTTATGGCTGTTGTTGGTGAGTCTGGTTCCACGCCGTCAATCACTATGTCACGAGTGATCGGGTCCTTGAATATTCCTCAGGTGAATATACTGACTTGAATGTATCAAAGGTTAACAAAAATGTAGTATTTTATTTATTATGCATTCAAATGTGTTCTCAGATTAATATAAAATATTTTAAAAGTAGCTATTAATTAAGGTATCTCTACCGTAATTAACAAGCAAAAAAAGATAAAACCATATGGTGGCAAAATCAATGTCAAGTAATAGAAAAAGGATCCTAAAATATTTAAAAGACAGATACATTTTAAAACTATGCGAAAAAGTTTGAAAATTTACACCAGCTAAAGCTAAAAATATTAGCTACACCTGAAGCAAAATGTAGCATTTTTTGATTGCCCCTGTGCTTTGCTTCAGGTGAGCCACTACGCCACATGTGCGTGTTTGTCCAATAAGCAACAATATCCTAGCTTCTTTAGAACTATTCCCAGTGACGAGTTCCAGGCTAAAGCACTGGCCCATTTGGTCAAACACTTTGGCTGGACCTGGATTGGTGCTGTTCGCTCAGATTCTGACTATGGAAACAATGGAATGGCATCTTTCCTGGAGGAAGCACAGAAAGAAGGAATTTGTGTGGAATATTCTGAATCTTTTTATCGGACAAATCCACACAGCAAGATTCAGAGATTGGCTGAAATCATTCGCAGGTTTTCGTCTTGTATTTTTATTATAAATTACATCATTAGCATAACTGACCTATGTTCTTCATAGCAAACGATGATGAATTATATATTTTTTTATCAATGATCATTTAGGTCAACAGCTGTGGTTATTGTTGCCTTTGTTGCCTCGGGAGACATGAGGATTCTACTGGAGGAACTGTCACAGAAACCTTCAACGCCCCGTCAGTGGATCGGCAGTGAGGCATGGGTGACAGATCCAGACATGCTAAGGTTCACGTTTTGTGCCGGAGCTGTTGGATTTGGTATTCAGCAAACCATAATTCCAGGACTGAGGGACTTCCTGCTGGATTTGACTCCTGCAAAAATTTTGGCGTCTTCTGTGTTGACTGAATTCTGGGAGAATGCGTTCAATTGCAGGCTGGGAAAAAGTATGAATGGTGTTGTGCAATACAGTACATGACAATTACCCCATTTACTACCACATGACCTTGTTAAATCGTTAAATCAGTAAATAGACACACGTGCACACAAAGCAGAGAGATATCAAAATGTATCTGTGCATTTTTCAGCACTCTACTGCATTTATTTGTTTGTGCAAAGTCACAATGTGATACTGATACTCCAACTTGGAGTATCTCCTGATACCGATATCAATCCAAATCATTCTTATCTCCTCCAGCATCCTGCGGCCTGCCGTTGCTGAGTCGATAGTGTAACCGTTTACGACATGTTGAGTATTTAGGCTTGGGTTTCGGATCAGGCCGGTTACACAGTAGTTAGTACAGTTTTCAATGTTTGATTCTGAAATGTTTTAACCAATATCAGACTATCGATCCTGAGTATCGGATCAAGTCATCCCTATTAGGAACCCAGTTGTCTGGTCTATGATGGTCTTGCGTCATCACTTACCACACACATGGGTAGCGCAACCCTTAAATAACCCCAATTTGCTGTGTTTTTAGCGACAACAGGTAAAAGACCATGTGATGGGACTGAAAACATAGAGACTCTTCAAAGTCCATATACTGACACGTCTCAGCTGAGAATTACAAACATGGTGTACAAGGCTGTGTATGCAATTGCACATGCCATTCACAGTGCAGCATGCGGGACAACAAACTCAACCACTGAGTGTGGTAGCAGAATAACATCACAACAGGTTAGGACAGTGGTTCCCAACCTTTTATGGCTGATGACTCCATTTTGACGTCGTACAGTTTTCTTTACCCCAGAAACATTTTAGTAGCTGTCACCTGAACAGTCATATTCTTTCCTATTTGTTTGCAGGTACTTAATCAGCTAAAAGAGGTTAATTTTACTCAGAATGGTTATGATGTGTCCTTCGATGACAATGGGGATCCTGTAGCCACATACGAGCTTGTCAACTGGCAGAAAGGCGAAAGTGGCACCATTGAAATGGTAACAGTCGGTCAATACGACGCATCACTGCCTGCAGGTCTGGAGTTCACTATCCACAGGAACCTCAGTTGGCAGGAGGGCAGCACACATGTTAGTGTACTCTTTTGTTTGTGTTCTTTCATGCCAATTTCATGGCTATGTTTTCATACCAGAAAAACAGCAAAATGACTTTCTGCCTGCTCCCCAACATTAGAAGATGAAACAAAAATGTTATAATACTGCAAAGTCAGGTTTTGTTATTTGTCCAAAAACTAACATGTTATATCTGTAATATGTAATATACAGTATGTAAGTGTATATGGGTATTGCAGGTGCCCTCATCAGTGTGCACAGACAGCTGTCCCCTTGGAACTCGAAAGGTGTTACAGAAAGGGAAACCCATCTGCTGTTACGACTGCATACCATGTGCTGATGGAGAGATCAGCAACTCTACAGGTAATAAAAAGACTTTCTGAAGGTCCTGCAAAATAGCATTAAAGATTTTAAATCCAATTTTGACATTTTGATAGCTCACACTGGTAATGGTGTGATTTGGGTCTGTCTGAGCCACGAACAGATACAGAACACACACTGGTAATGGTGTGATTTGGGTCTATCTGAGCCACGAACAGATTACGTCTATCTTGCAGATTTTCATGCATTCCTAATGTTACTGCTCTTGTTTCTTCAGATTCACTGGACTGTCTATCTTGTCCTGAGGAGTTCTGGCCTAATACAGAAAAAAATGTCTGCCTCCCCAAACTAGTAGAGTTCCTTTCTTTTGACGAGGTCCTGGGTATTGTCCTGGCCGTGTTTTCATTGGTCGGTGCCAGTCTTGCTGTTGCTACAGCAGCGATCTTCTTTTACCACAGGAAGTCCCCGATTGTCAGGGCGAACAACTCTGAGCTGAGTTTCCTGCTGCTCTTCTCCCTTACTCTGTGTTTCCTGTGCTCCTTAACCTTCATTGGTGCCCCCTCTGAGTGGTCTTGCATGCTGCGGCACACTGCATTCAGTATCACCTTTGTCCTCTGTATCTCCTGCGTCCTTGGAAAAACTTTGGTGGTGTTGGTGGCATTCAGGGCAACCCTTCCTGGCAACAACATCATGAAGTGGTTTGGTCCATCTCAGCAAAGGATGACTGTTGGTTCCTTCACCTTTGTCCAGATTTTGATTTGTACCATCTGGTTGGTTGTAAGCCCCCCCTTTCCAATGAAAAATCTCACTGCGTACAAAGAGCGGATCATCCTGGAATGTGCCCTGGGTTCAGCCATCGGATTCTGGGTAGTGCTGGGATACATCGGACTCTTGGCTCTGTTTTGCTTTGTTTTAGCGGTCCTGGCCAGGAAACTACCAGACAGTTTCAACGAAGCTAAGCTAATCACCTTCAGTATGCTAATTTTTTGTGCCGTTTGGATCACATTTATCCCTGCATACCTCAGCTCTCCAGGTAAATTCACGGTGGCTGTGGAGATATTTGCCATTCTAGCCTCTAGTTTTGGGCTAATTTTTTGTATGTTTGCTCCAAAGTGTTTTATTATATTGTTTAAACCAGAGAAAAACACCAAGAAACAATTAATGAACAAAAATCAATCTTAAAACACAAAGCTTGGAAACAGATATTTGATTAATACTGTAGGAGTAATAGTGAAGCTTTTCAGCTACATTAATGGGCAATGTTGTGACTCCATTTTTTTTTTTTTTGGTACATTAATGGGCAATGTTGTGACTCCAATTTTTTTTGCAAACAATTTATATAGATGTTCTATAAAACAGTGAGTTCCTGAGCTAAATGCTTGGGGCAACAATGAATAAACAACAATAAACATCCTTCGACTTACCGTAGGTCGGAACTAACTTACTGCACATAAGTACCTAAAGGATGCCAAGCAGGCCTACAATATATAACCAACGTAGTTTAAGTGAGTTTTTGACACCCTACTTACACGAAGGGACTTCAAAGTTGGCTAAATATATGGGTCCTATTGTTTTGTAGTACATTTTTTGAGTCCAGTGACATTGTCTTTGGCCAACATTGACCTTACCACACAGAATTTATAATTATATATTATATATACTCCGTATAGATTGAGTGGATTGAATGTGTATCCCATTTGATGGACACGTCTAATGATTGCAAATAAATCCCTTTGCTTTGAAATCATCTTGACTGTCATCTCTTCACCATCTCTGTTAGTTTGCTCAGGCTGTGTCAAATTGCCTGTTTTTTCTTTTGTTGACATTTGTCCGAATTTCAGGATTGAACATCGTAAAAACAACTATAGCCCTTCTGATCGATACCTGAGTCCAACTGCTCAACATGGACACTATCGCTTCACAGCCCGCAGCCTGCTGGAGGAGAAAAGAAGGCATCGGGTTGATATTGGTATTGACAGATTCTCCAAGTTGCAGTATCGGTATTGGTATTGACAATACCAATACAATATAACAATACTGACTCCACCTGACAACTCATGACCTTAGTGATGTCACAGATGCTTCCTTTGACTACTGCCTGCCTTTCGCTGAACACACGCTCACTGCAGTGTATAAATCAGCCGACTACCTCCGGCGTGAACTCACTAAACTACTCACTGCAGAGTTGCGCTGCAGTGACGTGCCAACGATGGCCCTGCTGTTGACAACAAACATTGTCCTTCTCGTGCTCCCTGTGTTCAGAGGTTCACCAGGCTCTGCCTCTGCCCAGGATCAGTGTGTCTTCCTAGGGGGGAACGTTCCGGAGAGTGTGTATGGAGATGGAGACGTAATAATAGGGGGTTTATTCCCTTTTCACTACAGACCTGTGTCTTCTCTACCAACATTTGAAACCAAACCACCCCCTGTTAAATTCAAAAAGTAAGCACGGATCGATTCTTTGTCATTCTCTAATTCAACCTCATTCTGTTATAATGGGGTTTTTTTTTACAGGCAAAGCTGTTACCTAAAGATTGTTAAAATGCATTGTTGTATTTTTCTTTCTTTTTCTGTTCATCTGTGCCATTTTGTATCTCAATTTGTAGATATTTTATGTCTGCTAGTTTTGACAAAATGTCCATTTGAAAAAATTGTCGTCTACTTTAAAATTTAATGTTACTGATTATTGAAAACAAATGCTGCCAACCTAATAAATTTGTCAAAACATTTCATTATTCATCATGTTACAAACAATTGTTTATGATTGTACTATTGTACTATTTTAATATTCTATACAGTAGTATACTTTATTGTATTACCAGCCCATTAAGCAGTGTGTTGGGAAGAGTAAAACAATTTAAAAAGGTTTAAATCTAATGACAAAAATTATTTGTTGAAAGGTTGAGGTTAGGTTAGGTTAGGCTAAGGAGGGACATTTTTTTATTTTTAAAAGAAATGTATGTTTTTATTTATTAAGTAATTGTGACATGTTGTGTTTGAGTGTCAATTTATGGACAATGATGTGAAGGCATGAAAAAAGTTTCTAAATATGACGAGTTTTAATTGTTATCATAACCCCCTCTATGAAATGTCTTGCAGTTTTCTTTCTCGTCCTCTGCGCTGGATGCAGACGATGACTTTTGCCATTGGTGAGGTCAACCGTCGCTCTGACCTCCTGCCACACTTAAAACTAGGCTTTCACATCCGAGACAGCAGCGACGACATCCTGGTGGCTTTGAGAGAATTACTGGTGCTGGTGAACGGGCAGCCGGAGAGCATGAGTGGAGACAACGCTACAGACAAGTTAGGATGTGCTGCCGTTAACAGACCTGTTTCCCCCGTGGTCATCGGAGGTGCGGCGTCTGGGGTATCGATGGCTCTGCTCAGAAGTTTAGGTTCTTTCCATATTCCACTAGTAAGAGTCAGTTTGTTGTGATAATGTCTGAACAACATTCTCTAACCTGTGAAAAAGACAAATGCATTGACCTGCAAATTCACTCTGGCTTTACGTGATGAACATATACATTTTATTTGTCATTTCTCACGCAATAATCTTGGAAGTGTTTTCTTTGCATTAATATCAAAAAGATATCCATGAGATGTCAAAGTGGGTCACATACCAAAAAAGATTAGAAACTATTGTAGTAGTAATAAATTCTATATTACTAATCTATTCAGAGTGAGAACAATTGTTGTTAAATCTGGATGAAATCCTCTGATTATGTTCACTACAAATCGAAAATGCATACTTACCTAAATGTTCATGCCTGCACCATTTCATGAGGTACGCTGGTCATTGATTAAATTTACTGCATAACTGAGAAAAGATTCTTGTATGACCTTTAAAGTCTTGTTTTACCATCTCTTTTTGGAGCCTATTGAAGGCATTGTAACAGTTTAAACACTTAACCAGCGTAAATGTCCTGTGACATTTATTTTTACTGTAAAATTTAATTAAGATTTAACAAGCTTAAAAAGTAACCACTGGCTTTACATATTGTGTATGTTACAACTTCAAACAATCCAACATATAGCATATGTCAGTTGTGATCACCTGTCTTTTTAATAGTACACTATTACTACCTGTGTGTACTACATGTTTATGCAGTAAATACCAGTAGTGCTCTTGTGTGCTTCTTACAACAGGTGAGCTATTTTGCATCTTGCAGCTGTTTGAGTAATAAAAAGGACTTTGGTTCCTTCATGCGGACAATGCCAAGTGATGCCTTTCAGGTCAGAGCCCTGGCCCGGCTGCTCACCCACTTTGGCTGGTCCTGGTTAGGAGTCATCGGCGTAGAAACGGACTACGCTCGCTTATCCAACACTTTCTCCAGGAGTCGGCCAAAGTTGGTGTTTGCACCGCCTATGCTCATTTATACCCCGTAAACCCGAGTGCCCAGGATCTAGACAAGCTCCTCAATGTTATTCAGGTAATAAATGACATTTTGTTCAATTTTAAGAAAATATGACCAAAGCAACTGGAATTTCCGTCTGTCTTTTTAGGCCTCGACTGCAAAGGTTATCATCATTTTTTGCAGTGAATCAGATATGCAACTCATCCTGCAGGAGATCCGTCTTCGTAATTTGACCGACTTGCAGTGGATTGCTGGAGAAGCCTGGTCCACTGGCACTTCACTGTGGAAAAACAATGCTGATCTCCTCAAGGGAACGCTGGGATTTGCCATTCAGAGAGCAAATGTGATTCCAGGGCTGAAGCAGCATCTTCTCAACCTGAGCGTTTCCACTGTTCATAAATCTGCTCTTTTGACAGAGTTTTGGGAGGAAACATTTAACTGTTGGCTCAACAATTCAGTGAATGGTCGGCCCGATGGGGTTAAATACCAAGACAGGCCGCCATGCACTGGAACAGAGAGTTTGGAAGATGTTAATTCCTCCTACACTGATGTGTCGCAGTTACGGGTTTCTTACAACGTCTACAAGGCAGTTTACTTGGTGGCCCACGCCCTGCAGGACATGAGTCAGTGTGAAGATGGAAAAGGTCCTTTTATCAATAGAACCTGTTCAGATCCAAAGAACTTTCAAACCTGGCAGGTAAGAAAAAAACTTCAGGTAAAATATGTATTTAAACGTCCAAAATGAATATATAACCAAATCGATAACAAAAAACGAACGTAATGTTGTGGAAAAGAATACTTGTCCACTAGTGGGCATGTTAGCGATTATGCTAGCATGTGGCATTTTAATACTGCAGTAGCCCCACACCACCTCCCAGACCGTGCTAAACCTGGTCACAACATTGGCCTCACTTCACCACCATCTACCGGTGGTGGGGTATCGATTCTGTGGTATCTATAAATCGACTAGGTACTGATGGGTATTGACTAGGTATCAAATACTCCCATAAAGTATTGATACTTATTAATAAATAGAAAAAAGTTTCTCTTCCACATCTTTTAGTGCACTCTCCCTCCTATACCCCGCCCCCTGGTAAAATTGCACTGATCCATTCATGTCACATGACCACTTAACAGTAACAATTAAACTATTTACCTTATAAAGTAATTTGCTATAGCTAACGCAAATTAAAGTTGGTAAATAATCAGTATTTGTCTTGTGTTTTATTGGGTTAATTAGACTGCATCAATATATCAATAAAAAGTCGTATCAAATAAAAAAATTCTAGTATTGACCATTACTATCATCTATCTATCTATGCCTTTTAAAAAATGGGTGCCCAGAAAAACAGTTTGAGAAACACTGATCGACCAGGTCCACTGGTAAATATGTATTCTCAGATCATAGAGTTTTAAGTGTGTGAAAAGTCCAAACAATAATTCAGATATTTTCATCTCTTCTCAGCTTATTCACTACATGAGACGTGCTAACTTTTCCCTGATGGGAGCCAGAGTTTCCTTTGGCGAGAATGGTGATCCTGTGGCTTATTATGATCTGATGAACTGGCACAGGAATCCAGACGGCTCTCTTAATCTAGTCAAAGTGGGTTATTATGATGCCTCGCTGCCTGATGAACGGAGTCTGGTTCTAAACCACTCTCTCATACAGTGGCCTCATGGGAAGCAGGTGTGTTTTACTGTGCAAACAGGTTTGAGGCCGCAGTTGAGTCTGGGATTGCTGTTAGTGTTGCTGATGGGTACATCAACCAATCTTTTATTTCCACTGCTCAACATCTTTCTATGTATTTTCAAAATATAACAAAATACAACATGAAGATATCGTAGTGAATGTTACATTTTAAAACAAATGTTACTTCATTTTGATTAAAAAGGTAATAGACTATTTATTACTGATTTACCACCCTAAGTTAGCCACATTTATCTGCTATTAATAGATTTTTAATCTATAAAAATCTGACTAAGAAAGTTTAGATTTGGGTTGGTTTGAAAGCTGGTCTTAATTGAATATTAAATAAGCCTGTCCATTTATTTCATAACACACATTAGAGTATCGAGGTCTCCAAAGGATCTCCTTTTTCATTCCTTGAAGCAGCGTAATTTGTATGTGCTTTATTTACCAAATATAAACTAATGAGCAAAAAGTCTATTCAATCCTCATCTGGAAGTCAGCTACATGTAACCACAAAGTACTTTCTTTTTGTGTTAAATCTGACATTTAGATTACTTCAGATAATTGTTTATTTATTTATTGCAAAACAGTGTACGCAAATCTACTGTATGTTCCAAATGAAAATACAGACAGTTCTGCATTGCTTGAAGATTTGTTCTTTTCTTTAAATGTTTGCCTTTTAACTTTTATAATGATCACTTATTCCTTAATTATGATAATGTTGTAAGTAATAAACTGATTTACCCTTGGGCTTCTTTGACAGATCCCCTAGCTTTTAACCTCTAATTTTGCTTTTGCATGAATGCATTGATCTTCTACCGTGCTGTGGTATGCTTGTTAAACTTAGTATATTATTATCTTTAGTTGTAATGGTGGATCCACTGGTAACATGTTTTGAAACACATTTGAAACACAGTAGAAACAGTAGTGTGGTGGTTTTGGCTAAGAGTCTCTGAGTGGCTGACCTTTGCCTCTCAGGCTGTCCGGTCTGTATGCAGTGATAGCTGTCCTGCAGGTTTCCGCGTGGCCAGAAAGAAGGGGCTGCCCATCTGCTGTTACGACTGTGTCCCCTGTGCTGAGGGAGAAGTCAGTAACTCCACTGGTGTGTTGCCTTCACACTAATGTTATACCAACAGGTGACAAACTGTTTATTTGATAAAACAAACAGAGATTTTCTCTTTCTTAATGTCCAGATTCACTGGAGTGCAACCGCTGTCCAGTATTCATGTGGTCCAATAAAGCTAGAGACCACTGTGTTCCAAAGACCATTGAGTTCCTGTCCTTCCATGAGGTGATGGGTGCTGTGCTGTGTGGTGTCTCCGTCCTTGGAGCCTGTATCTCCATGTCTTTCCTCATCATTTTCTTCAGAAACAAGAACACACCAATAGTTCGAGCCAACAACATGGAGCTGAGCTTCCTTCTCCTGCTCTTTCTCGCTGTGTGCTTTCTCATCAGCCTGTTGTTCATTGGAGAACCTTCAGATTGGCTCTGTCGTATCAGGTACCCAGCATTTGGGATCAGTTTCGCACTTTGTATTTCCTGCCTCTTGGCCAAGACGGCAGTGGTCCTCATGGCTTTCAGGGCCACGCTGCCAGGAAGTAACGTCATGAAGTGGTTTGGACCCAACCAACAGAGAGCCAGTGTAGTTGTAGGAACATCCATCCAGGTTGAACAACCATTGGTTTCCAAATATTATTTTTCTGGGATCGTGTTTGAAACTGTATTAAATCTCCCTTTTTGTTCTACTCAGGGACTGATCTGTCTCATCTGGCTGGTCACCAACCCACCACATGCCAACATCAACATAGGGTTCCACAGCGCCACCATCATCATGGAGTGTGTCGCCGGTTCAGAAGTTGGATTCTGGTGTGTCCTTGGATACATCGGTGTGTTGGCCTGTGCTTGTCTACTGATGGCTTTTCTGGCTCGGAAGCTGCCAGATAACTTCAATGAAGCCAAGTTCATCACCTTCAGCATGTTGATCTTCTTTGCAGTGTGGATCACCTTTATACCTGTTTATGTCAGCACACCTGGAAAGTTCACAGTGGCCGTTCATATTTTTGCCATATTAGCTTCAGCATTTGGACTTCTGTTCTGCATTTTTGCTCCAAAGTGCTACGTTATTATTTTGAGACCGGACAGAAATAGCAAGAAACACATGATGGCACGGTAGATATGTAATGACAAAAAAGATATTTTTATATCATGTGTGATTAGAATGTTTTTCTCAGAGTGCTGTTAGGCAACTGGACGTGACATTTTCTCAAGAAGACGATTCACCTCTCATCCAAGAGGCTTCTTCAGTTCTGACTCACCACTGGGAAATTCTGGTATTTAGCCTTCAGAGGGCTACATACATGTAACGAGGGTCGTTGCACAAGGGGGGGTGTGGAGAAACCCACTCTGTAAAAATTGAGTGGACTGAATGTGTATCTGATTTGATGGACACGTCTAATGATTGCAAATAAATCCTATTTCTTTGAAATAGTCTTGACTGTCATCTCTTCATCATCCCTGTTAGTTTGCTCAGGCTGTCTGTCAAACTGCCTGTTTTTTCTTTCTCCGATACCTGAGTATAACTGCTCAACATAACTTTGCACTAGACATTCAATAAACTTGGACACTATCGCTTCACAGCCCGCAGTCTGCTGGAAGAGAAAAAAAGGCATTGGATTGATATTGGTATTTTTCTTCAGATTCTTCAAGTTGCAGTATCAATATTGGTATTGGACAAAAAAGTTGTGTCGATCCATCCCTATGTATAATGAAATAAAACCTGGGCTTGGAGAGAACAGACTCAACCCATGTGATCAAAGAAAACATTCTGTTTTCAAATGAAATGAAGGCCATGTGTCATCAACAATACTGACTCCACCTGACAACTCATGACCTTAGTGATGTCACAGATGCTTCCTTTGACTACTGCCTGCCTTTCGCTGAACACACGCTCACTGCAGTGTATAAATCAGCCGACTACCTCCGGCGTGAACTCACTAAACTACTCACTGCAGAGTTGCGCTGCAGTGACGTGCCAACGATGGCCCTGCTGTTGACAACAAACATTGTCCTTCTCGTGCTCCCTGTGTTCAGAGGTTCACCAGGCTCTGCCTCTGCCCAGGATCAGTGTGTCTTCCTAGGGGGGAACGTTCCGGAGAGTGTGTATGGAGATGGAGACGTAATAATAGGGGGTTTATTTCCTTTTCACTACAGAGCTCTGTCTTCTCCTCCAACCTTTGAAACCAAACCACCCCCTGTTAAATTCAAAAAGTAAGCACGGATTGATTCTTTGTCATTGTCTAATTCAACCTCATTCTGTTATAATGGGGGGTTTTTTACAGGTAAAGTTGGTCCCTAAAGATTGTTAAAATGTTAAAATGCATTGCTGTATTTTTCTTTCTTTTTCTGTTCATCTGTCTAAGTTCCAATTTGTGTCTCAATTTGTAGATTTTTATGTCTGTGAGCTCAGGTGTGCTAGATTTGACAAAAGTTACTGATTATTGAAAACAAATGCTGCCAACTTACTTAATTTTGTCAAAACATTTCATTATTCATCATGTTACAAACAATTGTTTATGATTCCTTAAGAGCTGAATTACATATATTTCAACACTTGCATGTACTATTTTAATATTCTATACAGTAGTATACTTTATTGTATTACTAGCACATTAAGCAGTGTGTTGGGAAGAGTAAAAAAATTAAAAAGGTTTAAGTCTAAAGACAAAAAGTATTTGTTGAAAGGTTGAGGTTAGGTTAGGCTAAGGAGGGACTTTTTTATTTTTAAAAGAAATTTATATTTTTATTTATTAAGTAATTGTGACATGTTGTGATTGAAGAGTGTTGTAATCTTTCACTCATTTATTATTTATCAATTTAATGACGATGATGTGAAGATATGAATTAGTGCACAGGTAAAAAGCATGAAAAACGTTTCTAAATATGATGAGTTTTAATTGTTATCATAACCCCCTCTATGAAATGTCTTGCAGTTTTCTTTCTCGTCCTCTGCGCTGGATGCAGACGATGACTTTTGCCATTGGTGAGGTCAACCGTCGCTCTGACCTCCTGCCACACTTAAAACTAGGCTTTCACATCCGAGACAGCAGCGACGACATCCTGGTGGCTTTGAGAGAATTACTGGTGCTGGTGAACGGGCAGCCGGAGAGCATGAGTGGAGACAACGCTACAGACAAGTTAGGATGTGCTGCCGTTAACAGACCTGTATCCCCTGTGGTCATTGGCGATGCAGCCTCTGGGATATCAATGGCTCTGCTCAGAAGTTTAGGTTCTTTCCATATTCCACTAGTAAGAGTCAGTTTGTTGTGATAATGTCTGAACAACATTCTCTAACCTGTGAAAAAGACAAATGCATTGACCTGCAAATTCACTGTGGCTTTACGTGATGAACATATACATTTTCTTTGTCATTTCTCACTAATCTATTCAGAGTGAGAACAATTGTTGTTAAATCTGGATGAAATCCTCTGATTAGATTCAGTACAAAGCAAAAATGCATTCTTACCTTTTGATGAAGAGTTTTGTAAACCCTTTAGAATAGAGCTAAATGTTGATGCCTGTACCATTCATGAGGTACACTGGTCGTTGATTAAATTTACTGCATAACTGAGAAAAGATTCTTGTATGACCTTTAAAGTCTTGTTTTATCATTTCTTTTTGGAGCCCATTGAAGGCATCGTAACAGTTTAAACACTTAACCAGAGTAATTATCCTGTGACATTTATTTTTACTGTCAAATTAAGACTTAACAAACTAAAAATAATTACTGGCTTTACATATTATTTATTTTACAACTTTTGAAATTGATTTACTTAGGCATTCG